TCTAAAAACAAACCCTAAATTCACTTCTCTCTCTTTCCCGTCACCTATTTCTCTCCTCATTTTCTCTCACTTCTCCCTCCCTCCCCCTCTCTCCCCCCAAAATAGCAGTGTCATCGGAGGAAGGTCGCCACCAGCAAACCAAGATAGCACCTCGCGGCTTCTCTCATTCCCGATCCATCTCCACGTTGTGCCGGCGACCTTTTCCTTCCCTTCTCCTCCCCATCCCTTCGCCGCGCTGCTGCCGGCGATTTGACGCTGCCCTAATTCGCAGTAGCGTCGCGACGCTGCCCCATGGAAATCTACTGATTTCTGATTCGAGGCAGATTTCGATGGAGATCGTGTGTGATTGAAGTCGTGTGTTAACAGATTTCGATGGAGATCGATGCTGTGTAATTTGTGTGGTGGTACTGGAGATGATGCGGAGGCGGCGGTTTGTGGTGGTAAATCAGTTGTGTCGTTTACGATGNAGACGTCCTCCAGAAACCGAAAAAAAAAAAAAAAAAATCACTTTCCTTTATAAAATTTACTATAAAAAATCTACATCAAACAAATAGTCACTACCACCAATGGATGTGGATATGGAGTTCAAGCCCATAAATCATTGGCCCAAAAGTATAAAAATGTTGGACAACTTACAAAAATACTCTTAAAATTATGGGTCTTTTGAAAAATCATATGAAAAGTTTTTTAGAAGTAAAAAATATTGTGTAAAATTAAGTGTCACAATATCACCTTTTAGTACGAAAAAGTGACACAATGTGACTTTTAAAAGTTAAAAAATAACATACAATACCACTCTTACTAAAAAATGATATTTATCCCTATAAAAAGTGAAAGAAATCAAGAAGGTGATTGAAAAAAAAGTGTTAAAAATTCAAAAAAGTGACAAAAATTTTAAAAAGTTACAGAAATTTTTAAAAAGTGACCCAAATTTAAAAAAAAGTTACATGTATTAAAAAAAAGTGATAGAAAATATAAAAGTGGCAAATACTTGACAAAATTTTAAAAAGTGACGAGAAAATAATAAAAAAAAAAAGTTACAAACTCTCAAAAAGTGACGAAAAAAAAAAGTGACATACGCTAAAAAAAAGTGATAGAATTAGTATAATGGTGATTTTCTCGTTGAATAATTAATATCTATTTTACTCTGTTAAGACTTTGGATAGAAGTTTAGAAATAACAACAGTTTTCAGTCTATTTTTTTAATTTAAGACGAGATAACGATAAAATTATTCAATTTCACACATTGATAGCTTTCATTAAGGCAAACCAATCAAATTAAACCCTCGAAATTCATAGTTTACTATGCAACATTTATAGACCCTCATGATTTTTCATGCAATTACGTAGAATTTAGAATAAAAATTTTTAAATATAAAAAACAAAAACATAAAACTGAACCCCACCTATCCTTGCACGCTTATACTTGGTAACATTCTTGGGACGTTTTCTGAGAGCGCTCAACAGGCTCTTCGTCCTGTTTCTCTTCGCCTTTGCCTACAACGTCATCCGGAGCATCCTCATTGATATTGTTCTCTTCTTCCAACTCTACACTTCCTATCAATTGCCACAAAAAAAACCAGTAAAATTAATCATCGATGGACCACGAAAACATTATAAGTGATAATATACAAACATAAAAAGAAATAAAGCTTCTTACATTGGGTGGCTCATCTTTTTATCTACAAAAATTAAAAAATTCGAGTTAGTGAAAACAAAAACCCTAGGTAAACCCTGATCCCAATAAATAAGCTTTGAGAACAATAATTAAATTAAATTAAAAAATGACGAATTGCACAGACCCTCCGTGCATGTCGTAGTCCTCATCAGCCATTGCATCCGTGTGGGTTCCCTGATTTGTTTGTGGGAAAGGATCTGGGTAAGTATTGCCATGATGTTTTGATTAAAGTTGACATCGTGATAAGATAGTCACTGGATTGCACTACCTCCTTATCTCCAGCATCGTTGATGGGTTTTCCATCTTCTCCACTTACGTCTAAGGTGGGTTTTGAGTGTGTTTATTACGGAAGTAAAAATCTTAATTAGTTTGAGGGTATTATTCTAATTTGTTATTTTTGGAGGGTAATAGGCCTAATTATCCCAAAATGTTTGGGAAAATTAGGCTATCTACCCTCCAAATAAAAAAAATAGAATAATAATCTTAAAAGTAATTAACTTCGTTAATCATGTAATTAAGACGGTTAAACTCCCAAATGCCCCAAATCAACCGCCGGAGATAATCAGAAATTACAGACCAAAAGTCAATATATGGCTCTTACAGCGAATTGGGCAAGGCTCTCTCTCTCTCCCAGTTTGACGCATGAATTTGATTTTATATTACTCGATTCTTCCTTTTATTGTCTAAAGATTCGTTTGTAAGTCTAACTTTTCACATGCATACAGATTTCCTTTTTTTTTTTCTTTTTTTTTTTTTGCATTTTTTAAATAATTTATTCTGATTCTTATAAAGAGGAG